CGGACGGACGCCGTGCGCCCCGCGGCCCCCCCGGTGCTGCGCCTGGCACGGGCCATGGACGCGCCCCACGGCCAGGTAACCGGCCCCCCTGCCCCCCCCGCGGCCCCCCCGCGGCCCCCCCGGTGCTGCGCCTGGCACGGGCCATGGACCCCCACGGCCAGGTAACCGCCCCCGCCCCCCGCGCCCCCAGTGCTGCGCCTGGCACGGCCATGGACCCCCCACGGCCAGGTAACCGGCCCCCCTCCCCCCCGCACCCCCCGTCTCCCTCACGCCATGGACACCCCACGCCAGGTAACTGGCCCCCACGTCCCACCCCCCCCCCGGTGCTGCGCCTGCACGGGCCATGGACCCCCCACCCAGTAACTGGCCCCCACGCCCCACCCCGCGCCCCCGGTGCTGCGCCTGGCACGGGCCATGGACACGCCCCACGGCCAGGTAACTGGCCCCCCACGTCCCACCCCCGTGTCCCACAGCCAGGTAACCAGCCCCCCACAACCCTCCCACGGAGCCCCACAGGCAGGTATCCTGTCCCCCCCACGGCCCCCTGTGTTCTGCACCTTGCACGAGTCCCCCCACCCTGCAGTTCCCCACACACCCTGCCCGTACCCCTGGCCCCCAGCACCCCCATTCTGACCCGGCTCCCCCGGCCCCCCAGGACGAGGAGACGCTGTCCCTGCTGCAGGCGGCCGTGGAATCTCAGAGCGCCAGGACCGAACAGGTGAGACAAACCCCCATCCCCCGCAGGGCTGGGACCCCGGCGTCCGGGCTGGGACCCTCTCCCCAGGTGGTGGGAGGCCGGGACCCAGGCGTCCGGGCTGTGACCCTCTCCCCCCAGGTGCTGGCCGGGCAGGGCATCGACCGGCACCTGCTGGGGCTGAAGCTGGCGGCCATCGGGGACGGGCAGCGGCTGCCGGGGATCTTCATGGACACGGCCTACGCCATTGCCACACACTGCCGGCTGCTCACCGGGCAGGTACGGCCCCCCGGCGCCCCCCACGAACCCCCCAACGAACCCCTCACCCGCCCCCCGGTGCCCCTACGCCATTGCCACACACTGCCGGCTGCTCACCGGGCAGGTACGGCCCCCCGGCGCCCCCCCACGAACCCCGCCCCCCAACAAACCCCTCACCCGCCCCCGGTGCCCCTACGCCATTGCCACACACTGCCGGCTGCTCACCGGGCAGGTACGGCCCCCCGGCGCCCCCACGAACCCCCCAACGAACCCCTCACCCGCCCCCCGGTGCCCCTACGCCATTGCCACACACTGCCGGCTGCTCACCGGACAGGTACGGCCCCCCGGCGCCCCCCACGAACCCCTCGCCCGCCCCGGCACCCCCCCACGAACCCCCCAACAAACCCCTCACCCGCCCCCCGGTGCCCCTACGCCATTGCCACACACTGCCGGCTGCTCACCGGGCAGGTACGGCCCCCCGGCGCCCCCCACGAACCCCTCGCCCCCCCGGCGCCCCCCCACGAACCCCCCCAACGAACCCCTCACCCGCCCCCCGGTGCCCCTACGCCATTGCCACACACTGCCGGCTGCTCACCGGGCAGGTACGGCCCCCCAGCGCCCTCCCACGAACCCCTCCCCCGCCCTCGCGGCGCCCCCCCACGAACCCCCCAACGAACCCCTCACCTGCCCCCCGGTGCCCCTACGCCATCGCCACGCGCTGCCGGCTGTTCACCAGCCAGGTTCGGCCCCATAGCGCCCACCAACTGATCCCTGCCCCATGGTGCCCCCCAACTAATCCTCACCCGCCTCACGGTGCCCCCTAACTAACTCTTACCCACCCCACAGCGCCCCTACGCCATCACCACGTGCTACCTGCTGGTTACCAGGCAGGTCTGTATCCCCCCTGCCCCCCAGCTACCCCCTGTGCTGGTGCCATCCACCGATGGCTGCTCACCAGGCAGCTGTGGGCCCCTGCCCCCAAGGTGTGGGGGGGGAGTCCCTTCACCGGGGGCTGCGGTGGGCTCATCCTGCCCCCTCACTGGAGGTCATCGGCGGTGGGGGTTCAGGTTTGGGTGCGGGCAGGGGAGGGGACTTGGGGTGGCCGCCCCCTCACCCCGCTCTCCCCCCCGCCACCCCCCAGGTGTCTTCGCGCTCCGACTGCCTGATGGTCTACGGGCCGCAGGTGCCGGACGGCTACGGGGTCTGCTACAACCCGCTGGACGCCCACGTCAACTTCGCCATCACGGCCTTCAACTGCTGCCACGAGACCCACGCCCGGCGCCTGGCCCGCGCCCTGCACCGGGTCCTGGACCAGCTGGCCCGCCTGCTGGGGGAGAGCCCGGGGGGGCGGGGATGTGGAGGGGCAGCCCTGACGGCCCTCCGCCACGTGCTCCTCTGCAGCCCCCTTACCCACCCCCCTCTGCCCCCCGTTACCCAACATCCCCTCTGTGCCCGCTCGCTCCTTACCCAGAATCCCCTATGCGTCCTCTGCCATCCTACCCACAACCCCCTGCTGTGCCCACTCCCCTCCTTACCCAGAGTTCCCTCTGGGCGGGGGCAGCATCCCCCTTCACCCGGGCAAGGGGGAGACAAATCTAACTTATTTTCTGACGACGGAAAATGAATAAAAATCATGGTGCCATTTGTAGCTTTGTGGTGTCAGCTCTGAGTGTGGGACCCCCCCGAATGCCCCCTCCTGTCCCGGGGTCACTGGGCGATGCTCTGGGACTGCTCCCCATGAAGCCAGGCAGGACTCTGGGGTCTCGGGGAGCAGCCTGTCTGCAGGACACACAGCTCACCCGGCTTCCCCCTTCCTGGGTCTGACCTCGGAGCATTCAGCCTCCTCTGCCCCTCCGTGCGCTTCCCCCAGCGAGTCCGCTCAGGCGGGGTCCTGGGGGGCCAGAGGGTCCTGCCCCCCAACTCCGCAGTCAGACGTGACTCTCAGCCAGCCAGTAAAACAGAAGGTTTATTAGACGACAGGAACATGGTCTAACACAGAGCTTGCAGGTGCAGAGAACGGGACCCCTCAGCTGGGTCCATTTTGGGGGGCAGTGAGCCAGACAACCACGTCTGCACTTCACTCCATGTCCCAGCCAGCCCCAAACTGAAAACCCCCCTCCAGCCCCTCCTCCTCTGGGCTTTGTTCCTTTCCCGGCCAGGAGGTCACCGGATTCCTTTGTTCTCCAACCCTTCAGCTCTCACCTTGCAGGGGGGAAGGGCCCAGGCCATCAGTTGCCAGGAAACAGGGTGTTGGCCATTCTCTGTGTCCAGACTCCTGCACACACCTGCCCTCTAGGGCTCTGCAATGATCATACACCCTTACTCCACCCCCTAGATACTTAAGAACTGCCTAGGGGAAACTGAGGCACCCCCACACTATTCAGAGGAAACATTAAGAACAGTCCCACTTCGTCACACCTTCCCAGGGGTGCAGCACCCCCCATCACCCCCTGAACCCCCACTTCCTGGCCGCACAGTGCCCCCCCCTGTTCCTCCCCTTCCTGGGGTGCAGCACCCCCAGTGATGCTTCTGAACCTCCTCTTCCCAGGGGCATGTTGCCTCCTAGTGAACCCCTGCACCCCCCTTCACTAGCACCCCTAGGGACCCCCCAATCCCACTGTCCTGGGGGTGCAGTGCCCCCAGGGACACCCCGAGCCTCCCTTTCCTGGGGGTGCCTTCTAGTGACCCCCATGACTCTCTCTCATGACCCCCATGACTCTCTCTCTCCCTTCCCAGGGGCGCAGTGACCCCCCCGACCCTCTCTTTCCAGTTCGTTAGCGGGGAGCGATGGTCCCGTGCTCCCCGGTTCGTTAGCGTAGGGTCCCTGCTGCTCTCTAGAGCCGCCCTGGGGCAATGGGGCAGGCCTGATTGCCAGGGGAACCCTATACGAGGACACAAACCACCAGTGTCATGAGCTGTGTGGGTCTCAGCTCATCACCTGCAGGTGTGAAACAACGAGCCCCCAACTTTCACACGCCTCACTGCACCCAGAGACCTCAGGGCTGGGCTAGCAGGGGCTGGGGGTCGGGAGTGGGGGACCCCGGCAGGGCTGCGGGGCGGGAGTGAGGGGCCCCAGGGAGCAGGGGGCTGCGGGTCGGAGAGGGCTGTGTGGGGCTGCGGGTCTGGAGTGAAGGGCCCCGGCAGGGCTGGGGGGGACTGCGGGGCAGGAGTGAGGGGGGCTGGGGGTCGGGAGTGGGGGACCCCGGCAGGGCTGCGGGGCGGGAGCGAGGGGCCCCAGGGAGCGGGGGGCTGCGGGTTGGGCAGGGCTGGGGTGGGGGCTGTGGGGCGGGAGTGAGGGGAGCAGGGGGCTGGGGGTCGGGAGTGGGGGACCCTGGCAGGGCTGCGGGGTGCAGGGGGCTGCGGGGCGGGAGGGGTGAGGGGCCCCAGGGAGCGGGGGGCTGCGGGTCGGGCAGGGCTGTGGGGGGCTGTGGGGCGGGAGTGAGGGGAGCAGGGGGCTGGGGGTCGGGAGTGGGGGACCCTGGCAGGGCTGCGGGGTGCAGGGGGCTGCGGGGCGGGAGTGAGGGGCCCCAGGGAGCGGGGGGGCTGCGGGTTGGGCAGGGCTGGGGTGGGGGCTGCGGGGCAGGAGTGAGGGGAGCAGGGGGCTGGGGGTCGGGAGTGGGGGACCCCGGCAGGGCTGCGGGGCGGGAGTGAAGGGCCCCAGGGAGCGGGGGGGCTGCGGGTTGGGCAGGGCTGGGGGGGGCTGTGGGGCGGGAGTGAGGGGAGCAGGGGGCTGGGGGTCGGGAGTGGGGGACCCTGGCAGGGCTGCGGGGTGCAGGGGGCTGCGGGGCGGGAGTGAGGGGCCCCAGGGAGCGGGGGGGCTGCGGGTCGGGCAGGGCTGGGGGGGGCTGGGGGTCGGGAGTGAGGGGCTCCGGCAGGGCTGGGGGGGCGGCGGGGCGGGAGGGGGACGCGTTGTTCACGCCTCGTGTCTCTGCCTGGCGGGTCCCTGTCTCGGCAGCTCGGGCCCTGGGGGGGGGGGGGGGGGATCCGGGTCCCAGCTCGGTTCGGGGGGGGGGGCGGTGACGCTGCAGCTGCTGCCGCTAGTCCCCCCCCCCCCGCCCGGCTGCTTCGCAGAAGAGACGAGCGGAGCCAACCCCCGCAAGATGAGCTCCGAGAAAACAGGTGAGAGGGGCTGGGGGGCAGGAATGGGCTGGTGGGGGAGTGGGGATGGGGCAGGGGACGGCTGGGGGGCAGGAATGGGCTGGTGGGGGAGTGGGGATGGGGCAGGGGACGGCTGGGGGGCAGGAATGGGGTGGTGGGGGAGTGGGGATGGGGCAGGGGACGGCTGGGGGGCAGGAATGGGCTGGTGGGGGAGTGGGGATGGGGCAGGGGACGGCTGGGGGGCAGGAATGGGCTGGTGGGAGCGTGGGGATGGGGCAGGGGACAGCTGGGGGAGCAGGAATGGGGTGGTGGGGGAGTGGGGATGGGCCAGGGCATGGCTGGGGGGGCAGGAATGGGGTGGTGGGGGAGTGGGGATGGGGCAAGGGACGGCTGGGGGTCAGGAATGGGGTGGTGGGGGAGTGGGGATGGGGGGAGGGGGCAGGTGCTGGGGGAGCAGGTATGGGATGTGGGGGGAGTGGGGAGGGGGCAGATGGGGGCCAGCAGGAATGAGGTGGGGGGGATGGGGAATGGGGGAAGGGGAGTGGGGAGAGCAGGAATGGGGTGTGGGGGGAGTGGGGGAGGGGGCAGATGAGTGGGGAGGGGGCAGATGGGGCACCAGGAATGGGGGGTGGGGGGGACAGTGAGTGAGGAATGGGTGGGTGGGCATGTGTAGGGGAGGGCATGGAGGGATGGGGGGACAGAACATGGATGGAGACGGGACGTGGGGCAGCGAGTGGGTATGGCGGGATTGTGTGTGGGTAGATGGGGGTGGAGGTGTGAGGGGAGCAGGGGATGATGGGAGAAGAGGTGGGGGAACAGTGAAGGGGGCGGGGGGAGCAGAGGATGATGGGAGATGAGGTGCGGGGAGCATTGAAGGGGGTGAGGGGAGCAGGGGATGATGGGAGAAGAGGTGGGGGGAGCAGTGAAGGGGGCGAGGGGAGCAGAGGATGATGGGAGAAGAGGTGGGGGGAGCAGTGAAGGGGCAGGGGGAGAGGGGACGACGGGAGAAGAGGTGTGGGGAGCAGTGATGGGGTGGGGGGAGCAGGGGACGATGGGAGAAGAGGTCAGAGGAGCAGTGATGGGGTGGGGGGAGAGGGGACGATGGGAGAAGAGGTGTGGGGAGCAGTGATGGGGTGGGGGGAGCAGGGGATGATGGGAGAACAGGTGGGGGAGCAGTGATGGGGGGCGAGGGGGTGGATTTTCATACGTTCATTGATTCCAGCCCTTGATGACCAGTTGCTGCCTAGCCCGAGCCAGAGAGCGGCCCCCCTGCTGACCCCCACCTGGTGGGATGTACCCCTGGCCGGGGCGGGAGCAGCCCCACAGCCCTGGGGAAATCGCCCCCCTGGATCATTCCCCTCCGGCCACAAGCTGACGCCTTGTTCCCAGGCTGGCTCTGCCAGCTCCCGGCCAGGCTGGGGTTCGATCCCCTGCCGGCCTGAGGACCCCGGGGGATTTTTGGTTCCCGGTCGGTGCCTCCAGCTGGAGACACGTCCCCCCTTCGCCGGCCGTGCTCAGCAAATCGACCGAGCTCCTGGGGGGTCTCGCTCCGAGGCCGGTTTTCTAACCCCTTCATCGTCCTCGGGGTCCTCCCCGATGGACCCACACCCCCCTCGAATCGCGGGCACCAGAACGGGAGCCAGGATCCCGCCGTGGGATAATCCCCTCCCGGCTCCTACCCGAGATCCCCCGCCAGCACCCCGGGACGGCATTCGCCCTTTGCCCCGGCGTCGCCACGGCGGCTCCCGTCCGGCTGAGTCTGCACCATCGCCCGCAGTCTGTGTCCCGGGGCAGCGTCCCCCGGCCTGGCCCTGCGGCCGCCACGCTCTGCTCGAGGGAGACGTTGACACGGAGCCGGACTGACACGCAGATTGTTGGCTCCGGCCCAGCTCCCCTGCGACCCACCGGACCGCTCGGGATCGGGGCCCTGTCTCTTTGCCCGTTCCCGCTCTGCCGGGGTTTGGGTCGTCGGCACGTTTTATCCGTCATGCTCTGATGTTTTCTCCCGAGTCGCCGAGAAAAATACGAATTCGTGGAGGGCTAAGAACGGACCCTTGCGGGACCCACAGGACGCCCCCCGGCTGGACGGGGAGTCACTGTCTGCTGGGACGTTTTGAGCCAGTATTAAGCTAGCTAACAATTACGCTTGGGCAAGGCAAACTTTAGGGGGCGGGAATGCAAAGTGGTCTTGAGCCCCTCAGTGGGCTCCGAGTCTGCCGTGTCCAGCGTGAAGCGCGTTGTCCGCATGCACTGTGGGCTGTCCGGGGTGCCGTGGGCGCGGTCGGCCTTGGCCCAGCCCCACCTGACCGTGCTCTGCTGGCTCCCGAGGCACCGGGGGAGCCGGAGCCAGGTCCTTGGTGTGGGAGTTCCCGGGAGCGGCTGGGGCTCCCTCCCAGCCCATCCACCCCGGTGAGCTGCTGCGGATGGGGGTGCGCCCCCCCCTCCGGCTAGGTGTCCTGCTGCCCTTGGTGCTGGGCACGTCTCCCACCCCGGGCATTGGCCTATTTCTCGCACCAGCCTCGGGTGGCCGCCCAACGCCTCTTCAGGGTCCTCCTCAGCCTCCTGCAAGTCACGGTCCCGTGAGGCCAAGCAGGCATCGTCAGCGGACGCGAGCCGGCTGGAGATGGTGTCGGCAGGTCCGTGGTGGAGGCGTTAGACCCGGCCTTGGAGAGTCTGGCTGTCGGGAGTCTCTAGGCGCTTTGTCGGAGCCACCTGGAAACACCTACCTCGGAGCATCAGCTCAGATGCCACGAGGACAACCCATCGTCGAGGGAGAACTCGTGATATCTTGTCAGCCGGCCGGTGTCACCGGCTGCTGTTGGGTCACAAAAAGACAGCCCCGGTCTTCGTCTTCTCTTGCAACCCATTCTCAGCGCTCGTAGTGAGGGCCAGCACTTGGTCACCGGTGCTTCGCTTTGGTCGGAAATCTGCCGGATCGCCACGCCAAAGCTGTCTGCCCTGGGCGGGAGCCTCCGTGGGAGTTTGTAGCCACAGCCCAGGAGTGACCCTGCTGAGAGCTGGGTGCTGACGCTGGTCTCCTCTCCTTGGCTTTCCGCCACCTCGTGGGCATCACGCGCGGCGAGTGACATGACGACGGCCGGCCAGTGCCAGCTGCGTGTCTTCCCCAGGTGCTGCCGTGCTTCTGGGGATACCTTGTCAAAGCCACAGGCTTTCCCTGTTTTCACTGAATTCACTCAGGGCCTTTCTGTTTCTTCCCCCGAGAACGGTTGGCCCCGTGGTTATCCGGGTTGATTTTGTATCGTTCTAGTTTGCACAATGTCGTGCGGTACCAAGGTGGACGCTTTACAGAAGGCTGAGTGTCGCACCTCAGCACTAGGACGAGGCTGGGCAGAATTCGAGATTTGTTTTTTGATAATATCCACGTTGGTTTTTAGCTTTTAAGATATTTCCATCCAATTAAATATTCACATTTGCGCAAAATGATGGGTTTGGCGCATTTTGTAATGTTTATCGATTTAAATGGTCGCAGTTGAAGGTAATTATCAGGGGGGTCGGACGGTAATTATTGAATGAGCGTAAACGTTAAGATTCAAAAAGTTAAAGGAGGTAAATTGTTCTCCTTAACCTCTGAGGACAGGCCAAGGTCTAGGATTCTATGATTTATACCCACTAAAACAGAAATAGCCAACATCAGGCCAGAATTTCCAAAGTCGATGTTCTTAAAGCAAACTCAATTAAGTTCTCAAGCTGCGTTTTTTTCTTACTTTGTTCTGTCTGCACATTTTGTTATCAGGAGAAATATCTTTTCATCGGCTTGTGTGTGTGGTGAAATCACCATTCACCGGTAGAAATCTGAGCCTTCTAAGACGAACTGTTACTTTTATCAACCGGATTTATAACCCCATCACAAAAAGATATCAAGTTAGTCTGAAAAGATCTATTTCCCCTAAACCCCTGCTCATTGGCATTAAATATATTACGCTAGTTTAATGATTTATTATTGGAGTCCCCATATCTTACGTTTCATTCTCTTGCCTGGGATCAGTGTCAGGTGACGGATCTATAATTACTCAGGTCATCCCATTTACCCTTTTTAAATATTGGTGCAACATTAGCATTCTTCAAATCTTCTGGAACTTCCCAAGTGTCCCAAGACATATTGGATATCAACATTAACGATGCAGCAATCTCCTCAGCCAGCTCTTTTAAACTTCTTGGAAGAAAGTTATCTAGACCTACTGATTTAAAAATGTCTAACTTTAGTAGCTGCTGTTTAACATTGTCCTGAATACTACTGGAATAGAAAGTGGTTCTTCACCATGATCATCTGAGAGGACTACATCATCTGGCTTTTTTGCCAAATGGAGAACAGAAATATTTATTGAACCCATCTGCCTTATCTGCACTATTATCGATAATTCTACCATTTTCATCTAGTAATGGACAAATAGCATTGTCGGGATTCTTTTTATTGCTAATATATTTAAAATACTCCTTGTTGTCCTTAACCCTGCGGCCACAGACTTCACGTTGTGTCCTTTTGCTTCCCTTATCAATTTTCTACAATTCCTAGTTTCTGATTCATATTCATTACTATCAACGTTCCCTCATTTCCATTTTTTATGTTTTATTTTTTATAGCTGCCCACACTTCCCCTCTAAACCAGGTTGTTTTTTTAACCAGTGTGGCCTCCTTTCTCAGTTGTGGCAGTTCGGGCCACTCGCAAACAATTCCTAATTAGCATGAACGTTTCTCTGATGAAATTCTTCCTGCCCGCTGATTTGGCTCATCATGGCTTTCCGTGGGCCGTGAAACACGGCTCCACAAGCATTCAAAGCGCTGTGTAGACATTTGGGCTGCGGCTTGGTAACCTTGGGGGCGGCGGGGGGGGGGGTCTGCAGCACAACGATGCAGCACAAGCTAGATTCGGGCTCTGAACCTCGCTGTGCCTTTTTGCCATGTAGACGCAACCCCTAACGCCGCTCCGCCTCCGCGTCGGCCCACTCCAGCCTTCGCCACCGCCCTGGCCCAGCCATTTGTACCCCCACCCCTGTCACCCCGGAGCTGTCCTCGACTAACTGGGGCTGGGGGGAGGGGCCGTGGGGGAGCCCGGGGCTGGGATAGCAGGGAGCTATGGGGTGGGATTGAGGGGCACCAGCAGAGCTGTGTGTGTGTGTGGGGGGTGTCATCCATCTCCCGTCCTCCCCCCATCCTGTTTCTCTCCATCTCTCTCTGTTTGCTCCGCCGCCCCCCCCAGGCTCCGTGTCTCCCTCTATAAATAGACCAAGTGACCTAAAAACTGAGAGCGGCGCCGGATCGGTGCTCAGGAGAGAGAACCCCCGGGAACCGGTGCCCCAATTCCAGGGGTGGGCACCCCTGGAGCCCCCCCAGGAGGAGCGGGCGCTCTGTGTGTGTATATGGGGGGCTGCGAATATAGGGGGCCCTGTCTGTATATGTGTACAGGGGACACTGTGTATATAGGGGAGTCTCTAACCTTACCCCCTTTCTTTCCCAGGCTTACCGGACTCTGGCCCCCACACCTCCCCCCCTCCCTACAATGCCCCACTGCAGCCGCCCCCTCCCCCACCTGATGCCCCCAATAATGCCCCCCTCTTCCCCGGCTACAGTGACCCCCCGCACCTGCCCCCCCACTCTGGCATCGCCACCCTGCCTCGCCTCGGGGGGGCGGCCACCCTGCCCCGGCCGCCCCCCACCTCAGCCACCCTGCCCCGGCCCCCCCACCACCACTCGGCCACCCTGCCGCGGCTGCCCCCCGACCCCTACATGCAGGAGACCCAGTTCAGCGCCCCCCCACAGGGCTACATGGTCCCGACGCACCCGCCCATGGGGACCCTGCCCATCGGGGGGTACATGCACCCCGGCTACCCTGTGCAGCTGCAGCCCTGCACGGCCTACGTCCCGGTGTACCCCGTAGGCACGGTGAGTAGGGGGGGTCCCGGGGGGGGCGGCGGGGTCTGCTTCCCTGGAGTGGGGCTTCCCTCTGCTCTTGGGGGCGGGGCTTCCTGGGATGGGGAGCGGGGCCTCCCTGGGATGAGGTTTCCCCCATTGCAGGGGGCGGGGCTTCCCCTGCTGTTGGGGGCGGGGCTTCACTCAGGTGGGTGTGGCTTCCCACCTGGCTGTGGATTCCCCGTTTAACTCTCTCTCTCTCTCCCCCCAGCCGTACCCCCCCAGCAACCCTCCCCCGCCCCCGGGGGTCTCCCCCCCCCAGATGCCCCCAGGAATCGCCATCCTGGAGCCGCGCCGGCCGCCCCACGACTACCTGCCCATCGCGGTGCTCACCACCATCTGCTGCTTCTGGCCCACGGGCATCATCGCCATCATCAAAGCCGTGCAGGTCCGCGGGGCCGGGGCGGGGCGCCGCGGGGGGCCTGGGGGGCGGGGCGGGGCAGGGGCAGCACCTGACCCAATGCCGTGTCCCCCCAGGTGCGGACGGCCGTGGCGCGGGGGGACATCGTCTCGGCCGAGATCGCGTCGCGCGAGGCCCGGAACTTCTCCTTCATCAGCCTGGCCGTGGGCATCGCCGCCATGGTGCTGTGCACCATCCTCACCGTGGTCATCATCATCGCCGCCCAGCACCACGACAACGACTGGGACCCCTAGCCCCGCCCCCGCCCGCCGGCCCCGCCCCCGCCCGGGCCCCGCCCAGCTCCACGACGACCACGGGGACCCCTAGCCCCGCCCCCGCCCCGCCGGCCCTGCCCACCGCCCGGGCCCCGCCCAGCTCCACGACGACCACGGGGACCCCTAGCCCCGCCCCCGCCCCGCCGGCCCTGCCCACCGCCCGGGCCCCGCCCAGCTCCACGACGACCACGGGGACCCCTAGCCCCGCCCCCGGCCCCGCGCCCGGCCCCGCCCCCACCCGCCGACCGGGCCCCGCCCAGCACCACGACGACCACGGGGACCCCTAGCCCCGCCCCCGGCCCCGCACCCGGCACCGCCCCCACCTGCCGACCGGGCCCCGCCCAGCATCACGACGACCATGGGGACCCCTAGCCCCGCCCCCGCCCCGCTGGCTCCGCGCCCCCCCTGCCCTGCCTGCCAACCAGGCTCCACCCACTGCCGGGCCAGCCTATGAATCAGGCCCCGCCCACTGCTGGCTCCAATCACAAACCAGGCCCCACCTACAGCTGCCCCTGCCCCCCAATCAGGCCCTGCCTACTGCTGGCCCCGCCCACTGGTAGCCCCACCTGCCAACCAGGCTGATAATCCCCTGCGGATGCCATTACCCACAATCCTCTGCAGCCATTGCCAACATGACCTGGCATCCCTTGCAGCCAATGTTACCCACAATCCCTTGCAGCCCCCGCCCACCGGACCCACAGTCCCCTGCAGGTATTGTCCCCCCAGGAGACCCATGATGCTTTGCAACCCCTGCTCCAGCCAGCAACACCCAGAATCCCCTGCAGCCACCACCCTCTGGGATACCCAGGAGCCTTTGCAGCCTCTCCTGGCTCCAGCCCATAAAACCCGGCCCTGCCCCCCAGTCACCCCTGTATCCATGACAACACCCCCCTTCCGAGCAGAGTCTTTCCCATGATCCTTTGTAACCATTGCCCCCCATCCCTCCCCACAGGCATCTTTGGCTCTGCCCCCTTGGCAGCCCCACAGCCCGCCCCAACTAAGCAATTCCCATAATCCTTTGCAACTATCATTTTCCCGTCAGCACCTCCGGCTCTGGCCCCGAGGGACAAGCTCCGCCCCCTGGCCTCACACCCTGCCCCTTTGGCCACCCCCTTCAGTGGAATGCTACCCATAATGCTTTGCAGCCACCATATTCTCCCCCCAGTCCTGGGTCTGACTCCACGCCCACATGACTAGGCCACGCCCCATTGGCTCAGGCCACGCCCCCTGGCTCACCCTAAATATATTCCTGAGCTTCCCCATCAGACCACGCCCCTTCATATCAGGCTCCGCCCCCTCATTCCCCCTAATATCGTCATGCCTTGATTGCTCCCCCAAAGCTCCGATTGGCTTCTCCCCAATTGGCTCCACCTTCTTCAGGAGTGGCTCTGCCCTCTTTCTTCCCTCTCGGCCTTTCCCCACAGCCCCTCCCCCTTTTAGCCCCTCCCCCATAAACATTTTGCTCCAGATTGGGGGGGCGCAAACCCCAATATATCACAGAGCCCCCAGCTGTACATAGCAATGAAATATCCCCCTTGCCAAGGTGTGACCCCCAGCATGAGCCCCCCCATATCTGTGACACTGGCCCTTTAAGATACACAACCCCCCCACTCCAAAAGAGACCTCTCTTTTCCCACGGCCCCCACAAGTGAGTGATGCCGCCCCTCTGGGACGCCACCTCTGGCCCCCCATGGTGGGGTTCCTGGTTCAGGGGGACAGAGGGGGCAGGGAGGGGAGAAGTTTGAGGGTCCAGGGGTTTGGGGTGTTTGGAGTCTGGGGGCAGAATCACTGGGGTGAGGGAGACACTGTTCATTATCGGGGTCCCCCTAAGTCACTCCCACCCAACACGCTGCCCCAAAGCCTAGACATCTGGGGATCCCTTGCAGTGACCCCAAACGTGAGAGGCGCACTGGGCTAGCGGGGGGCTGCGGGTCGGGAGTGAGGGGCACTGGCAGAGCTTGGGGGGGCGCTGTGTTGTGTGGTCCATTGTACCCCCCTACATGGCCCTGGTCCCTTTGGATCCGGCCCCCCCAGTTCCTCTCCCTGTCCTGGGACACGACGTTTCTGTTTGCAAGTGACCTGGGTTAATAAATCTCTATTGATAACAACACCAGAGTCGTCCCTGTCCCCTGGCCGGCTGCACGGGAACCGGGCGGGGGGAACGGGGGGGCAGGGTAAGGGGCTGGGGCCTGTCCCTTCTGGGGGTTGCCGGCTCCCATCCGGCCCCAGGGCGGGGGCTGGCTGGGGAGGGGCAGTGGGGGAGGGGGGTGTTACCCTCTTATCACAGGCAACAGAAGGAAATATCAAAGCCCATAGTGCTGCCCCCCTGTTCCCCACCCCCCATCTCCCCCCTCTTGCCCCAGCCCCAATGGCCCCACCTCACCGCTCCCCCACTCCCTGAGCAGCCTCCCTGTGCAGCTCCATCTGCCCCCAGCTCCCCCCACCGCCCGGTTTCCCTCCCCCAACCCCCCAAATCCGTGCCCCCGTCCTGAGCCCCCCTCGCCCTCACTCAGTTCCCTTCTCTGTGTCCCTGTAGGGCCCCCGCCCCCGCCCAGCATCCTGGAGCTTCGATGTATCCATGGTGACGGTTGCCTGGCTACAGAAGGATGGAGGGACAATGTGTTGGCTCCGGGCATGTAGGGCCAGAGAGGGGGAGGCAGCTGGGGGTGGGGACCTGTCACAGACAAGCAGAGCTGTAGGGTTCGGGGGCAGGGCTGGGCTAGCAGGTGCTATGGGTTGGGAGTGAGGTGCACCGGCAGGGCTGGGGGGGCAGGGCCGGGCTGGCAGGGGGCTGCGGGTCGGGAGCGAGGGGCACCGGCAGGGTGGGGGGGGGCAGGGGGCTGCGGGTCGGGAGTGAGGGGCACCGGCAGGGCTGGGGGGGGCAGGGCTGGGCTGGCAGGGGGGCTGCGGGTCGGGAGCGAGGGGCACCAGCAGGGCGGGGGGGGCAGGGGGCTGCGGGTCGGGAGCGAGGGGCACCGGCAGGGCTGGGGGGGGCAGGGGGCTGCGGGTCGGGAGCGAGGGGCACCGGCAGGGTGGGGGGGCAGGAGGCTGCGGGTCGGGAGTGAGGGGCACCGGCAGGGCTGGGGGGGGCAGGGGGCTGCGGTCGGGAGCGAGGGGCACCGGCAGGGCGGGGGGGCAGGGGGCTGTGGGTCGGGAGCGAGGGGCACCAGCAGGGCGGGGGGGGGGCAGGGGGCTGCGGGTCGGGAGCGAGGGGCACCGGCAGGGCGGGGGGGGCAGGGGGCTGCGGTCGGGAGCGAGGGGCACCGGCAGGGCGGGGGGAACAGGGGGCTGCGGTCGGGAGTGAGGGGCACCGGCAGGGCGGGGGGGGCAGGGGGCTGCGGGTCGGGAGCGAGGGGCACCGGCAGGGCGGAGGGGGCAGGGGGCTGCGGGTCGGGAGCGAGGGGCACCAGCAGGGCGGGGGGGGGGCAGGGGGCTGCGGGTCGGGAGCGAGGGGCACCGGCAGGGCGGGGGGGGGCAGGGGGCTGCGGGTCGGGAGCGAGGGGCACCGGCAGGGCGGGGGGGGCAGGGGGCTGCGGTCCGGAGCGAGGGGCACCGGCAGGGCGGGGGGAACAGGGGGCTGCGGTCGGGAGTGAGGGGCACCGGCAGGGCGGGGGGGGGGCAGGGGGCTGCGGGTCGGGAGCGAGGGGCACCGGCAGGGCGGAGGGGGCAGGGGGCTGCGGGTCGGGAGCAAGGGGCACCGGCAGGGCTGGGGGGGGCAGGGCCAGGCTGGCAGGGGGCTGCGGTCGGGAGCGAGGGGCACCGGCAGGGCGGGGGGGGGGGGCCGGGGGCTGCGGGTCGGGAGCGAGGGGCACCGGCAGGGCGGGGGGGGGGCAGGGGGCTGCGGGTCGGGAGCGAGGGGCACCGGCAGGGCGGGGGGGGGCAGGGGGCTGCGGGTCGGGAGCGAGGGGCACCGGCAGGGCGGGGGGGGGGCAGGGGGCTGCGGGTCGGGAGCGAGGGGCACCGGCAGGGCGGGGGGGGCAGGGGGCTGCGGGTCGGGAGCGAGGGGCACCGGCAGGGCGGGGGGGGGGCAGGGGGCTGCGGGTCGGGAGCGAGGGGCACCGGCAGGGCGGGGGGGGCAGGGGGCTGCGGGTCGGGAGCGAGGGGCACCGGCAGGGCTGGGGGGGGCAGGGCCAGGCTGGCAGGGGGCTGCGGGTCGGGAGCGAGGGGCACCGGCAGGGCGGGGGGAACAGGGGGCTGCAGTCGGGAGCGAGGGGCACCGGCAGGGCGGGGGGGGGGCAGGGGGCTGCGGGTCGGGAGCGAGGGGCACCGGCAGGGCGGGGGGGGCAGGGGGCTGCGGGTCGGGAGCGAGGGGCACCGGCAGGGCGGGGGGGGGGCAGGGGGCTGCGGGTCGGGAGCGAGGGGCACCGGCAGGGCGGGGGGGTGCAGGGGGCTGCGGGTCGGGAGCGAGGGGTACCGGCAGGGCTGGGGGGGGCAGGGGGCTGCGGGTCGGGAGCGAGGGGCACCGGCAGGGCTGGGGGGGGGGCAGGGGGCTGCGGGTCGGGAGCGAGGGGCACCGGCAGGGTGGGGGGGGGGGCAGGGGGCTGCGGGTCGGGAGCGAGGGGCACCGGCAGGGTGGGGGGGGGCAGGGGGCTGCGGGTCGGGAGCGAGGGGCACCGGCAGGGCGGGGGGGGGCAGGGGGCTGCGGGTCGGGAGCGAGGGGCACCGGCAGGGCGGAGGGGGCAGGGGGCTGCGGGTCGGGAGCAAGGGGCACCGGCAGGGCTGGGGGGGGCAGGGCCAGGCTGGCAGGGGGCTGCGGTCGGGAGCGAGGGGCACCGGCAGGGCGGGGGGGGGGGGCAGGGGGCTGCGGGTCGGGAGCGAGGGGCACCGGCAGGGCGGGGGGGGCAGGGGGCTGCGGGTCGGGAGCGAGGGGCACCGGCAGGGCGGGGGGGGCAGGGGGCTGCGGGTCGGGAGCGAGGGGCACCGGCAGGGCGGGGAGGGGCAGGGGGCTGCGGGTCGGGAGCGAGGGGCACCGGCAGGGCGGGGGGGGCAGGGGGCTGCGGGTCGGGAGCGAGGGGCACCGGCAGGGCGGGGGGGGCAGGGGGCTGCGGGTCGGGAGCGAGGGGCACCGGCAGGGCGGGGGGGGGCAGGGGGCTGCGGGTCGGGAGCGAGGGGCACCGGCAGGGCGGGGGGGGCAGGGGGCTGCGGGTCGGGAGCGAGGGGCACCGGCAGGGCGGGGGGGGGGCAGGGGGCTGCGGGTCGGGAGCGAGGGGCACCGGCAGGGCGGGGGGGGGCAGGGGGCTGCGGGTCGGGAGCGAGGGGCACCGGCAGGGCGGGGGGGCAGGGGGCTGCGGGTCGGGAGCGAGGGGCACCGGCAGGGCTGGGGGGGGCAGGGCCAGGCTGGCAGGGGGCTGCGGGTCGGGAGCGAGGGGCACCGGCAGGGCGGGGGGAACAGGGGGCTGCAGTCGGGAGCGAGGGGCACCGGCAGGGCGGGGGGGGGCAGGGGGCTGCGGGTCGGGAGCGAGGGGCACCGGCAGGGCGGGGGGGGCAGGGGGCTGCGGGTCGGGAGCGAGGGGCACCGGCAGGGCGGGGGGGGGCAGGGGGCTGCGGGTCGGGAGCGAGGGGCACCGGCAGGGCGGGGGGGTGCAGGGGGCTGCGGGTCGGGAGCGAGGGGTACCGGCAGGGCTGGGGGGGGCAGGGGGCTGCGGGTCGGGAGCGAGGGGCACCGGCAGGGCTGGGGGGGGCAGGGGGCTGCGGGTCGGGAGCGAGGGGCACCGGCAGGGTGGGGGGGGGGCAGGGGGCTGCGGGTCGGGAGCGAGGGGCACCGGCAGGGTGGGGGGGGCAGGGGGCTGCGGGTCGGGAGCGAGGGGCGCTCATGGCTCCGGCTCTCCCAGGCCTGGGGGGAGGGCTCCGGGGTGCATGTGACAGTGGATTTGGGGGCTGCCCCTCCCACCGCCTGGCCCATGCGGGGCCCCCCCGTGACCTCCCCCACCCCGTGCCCTGGGACAGGCCCCGTTAACCGGGGCAGCGGCTGGGGGGTGCATGGGGAGCCCTGCCCGCCTCCCTCCGTGGCCTCTGGCCTCTGACCTTCGACCTGGCCACTTCCCGTGACCTTTGACCCGACAAGCGCCGCCTTTCTTTGGTTCCATTCATGCTTGATCTTTGACCCAGCCCCACTGGGGATTGGCCAACACCCGACCTATGACCTTTGACCCGAAGTGGCACCTGCGACCTCAGGCCTTTGACCTGACCTGGGTGCGAGCAAAGGGAACAGGCCAATGCTGCCATGTGTGACCTCTGACCTCTGACCCTAACCCTGCAGGCAGAGGCTCGGCTAATGGGCTTGGCTGACGCCTGTGCGCCCAGCTAATGGCTGTGACCTCTGACCTTTGACCTGTGGCCCGTGAGCCCAGGACTGTGCCCAACCAGGGGGTCTGAGTAAAGCAGGAAAAGGCCTCAACGCCTGGTGACCTCTCACCCCAGTGGGCTGCCCCCTGACCCCACCACACCCTGCCGTCCACTCAGCTGGGGGCTGACCTTTGAACTCTGCCAACCAGCGGCCAACCGGAACGGCCGGACCCCGACCTTTGACCTGCTCCCAACTTAATGATTTTCTTGTTTCAACAGCAAACGATTTCTTTGTATTTTAAGAAATAAATTTTATTCTCGACTCTGACGAATTACTGGGGCCCCGTGTCCCAGTCCCCGCCCCCCTGAGCCAGCCAGTCCCCGCCCTGGGGCTGGATGGGAGCCGGCGCCCCCCAGGCCGGAAGGGCCCCCTGCCCCACCCCAGGCGCAGGGTCCGGGCTCTGTCCCCGCCACACTCAGGAGAAGAGCTTGCTCATGGCCCGGGCCAGGCGGGCGTCCCGCTCCCGCGCCCGCTGCCCCACCCTCTCCAGCTCCCTGCGCGCGGCCGTGTTCCCCGGCTGGGCCGCCAGCACCGCCCGGAAGTCCTCGCCCGCCCCCTCCAGGTCGTTCATGGCGGCGCGGGCCAGGCCGCGGCGGTACCGGGCCTTGGTGTGTTGGGGCCGCAGCGTCAGCGCCTTGGTGCAGTTGCGGGCGGCGTGGGCCGGCTGGGCGAGCCGCAGCTGGCAGGCGGCCAGGTTGGCGTGCAGGTCGGCCCGCAGGCGGGCGTGCTCCGGGGCCGGGGGGGCCGGGCCGGCGGCCATGGCCAGCTGCAGGGCCTGGGCGTAGCGCCGGGCGGCCGCCCCCACCTCGCCAGCCCGGTAGAGCTCCGAGCCGCGCTCCTTGTGCCGCAGGGCCAGCGCCCACTTCTCCGCCGGGTCCAGCTGCCAGGGCTCCGGGACCGGGGCAAAGGAGGCCAGGTGCAGCCCCAGGACGGCCCTGCCCGGGGCCCACAGCTCGGCCCGCTCCCCCGGCACCATGGTCTCCAGGCAGGCGTCCACCAGGCCGTCCCAGGCGCCGTCCCCCTCACCCAGCTCCAGCTGGGCCCAGCGGTTGGTGGGGTACCCCAGGGGCGCCCCCGGCGGTGCCTCCAGGAAGACCTGGCACAGGGCGCCCAGCGTCGGCTTGTCCAGCCCCGCGCCCGGCCGCAGAACCCGCTTGGCGAAGGCACCGTCCGGCGCCACCCAGGCGTCTGCCGGCTGATTGGGCACCTCCAGGTTCTCTCTCTGGTCCTCTTCTGGCCCCGCGCCCCAGGGCTCAGCACCTCTGCCAGCACCACTCATCCCATTCGCTGCTCCGCGGCCCTCCGCCTTCCCATTGGCCACTGCCGCGGCCTCCATCTGCCCCCGGCCGAGTGGGGAGCGGGGGGCTCTGGCACGGCACCCCCCAGAGGTGAAGCCTGGGGGGGTTCAGAGATGGGCAGCTCCTGTGAACCAGAGGGCAGGGGGAATGGGTCAGAAAGATCCCAAGAGTCTTGGCTCCAGGCTCACCCCCCTCCCTACGCAGAGAAACCAGGTGTCCTGGCTCCCACTCACTCCCCCCATGCTGCTAGACCCCCCACAGAGAACCCAGGAGTCCTGGTTCCTAGTCCCCTGAGTAAACCGCTAGACCCCCCTGCCCCGAGAACCCAGGGATCCTGGCTCCCAGCCCCCCACTAAGCTGCTAGAGCCCCCCTCCTCGAACCCAGGAGTCCTGGTTCCTAGCCCCCCCCCCCCCGAAACTGCTAGACACCCCCCCCGAAGAACCCAGGAGACCTGGCTCCAAGCCCCCACATCTGCTCGCCCCCCCGCCAGAAAACCCAGGCATCCTGGCTCCCAGCCCCCACACAGAGAACCCAGGCGTCCTGGCTCCCTCCTGCTCTGGGCTGTGCTGCCTGTCTCTGCCCTGCTCCCTCGCTCCTCCCCCTCCAGCTGTGCCCCCTTGGACCCCCCTCACCCCGGGCGGGGGGCACAGACTGGGGGGGATCCAGCTGCGCTCTGGCCCCGCTTGTCCGGCCTCCCTCCCGCTGCCCCCCCCCTTGTCTTTGCATCACTTCCTGAGGGCGGCCCCACTAGGCCGCAGCCTGCCTCGATTAGCCAGGCCGAGGCGTGTGGGGAGGGGCCAGGCCCAGGCCCCCCTGCCCCCCACAAGGAAGGGGGGGGCTGGGACCCCCTGCTCCATCAGTGTGTTAACAAGCAGCACACAATTGGGGGGACTGGGGGGGTCTCCCCCCCAGTTCCCCCTACCCCGGGCGCTGGGGTTGGCTGCACAAGATGGCTGCTGGGGGCCGACCTCACGCGTGGGGGGCTCTGGGCCGCAGCTGGGGAGAGCTGGGGGGAACCCCAAGATTGAGGGGGGCAAAAGGGGTGCATGGGGGGGTGGCAGGTGGAAGGGGCTGTTGAGGGGAATGGGGCAGAGGGTGTGGGATTCGGGGGTGGGGGTGGGCAGGAATGGGGGGGACAGGGAGGGTGAGTCCTGGGGTGCAGGGGTTGGGGGGCTCCGCAGGACCAGGGGGAGGGGAAGCAGGAGTGGGAACCCCCCCCGGGGGCCAGGGCAAGATGTGGTTCAGGGAGGGGAGACCGTACCCCTAATTCAGGAGTGTGAACCCAGGCATCCGGGGAAGATGGAGTTTTTTGGGGGGGCTCTGTACCCCCTAATTCAGGGTGGAGGAGGGGTGCGAACCCACGCATCCGGGAGAGACAGGGTTAAGTATTCATTATTTCACCCCTTGATCCAGACCCGCGCGCGGGGGCGGGGGGGTTATGAACCCAGGCGTCCGGGGGAGTCGGGGGGTTGAAGACTACATTTCCCAGAATCCCCTGCTCTCCCTCCACCCCGCCCCCCTCCAGCTTAATTTCATTCCCGCTTACGTCAGCGGCCAGCTGGGTCCGGCATGGTGTGACTGGTCATTGGGGGTGAGTTGGGGGGGAGCTCTGGGGGAGGGAGTCCTGGGGGCCCCGGGACAGAGGGGGAAAGCTGTGGGGTGCTGGGAAGGGGGGACCCAGAGAGAAGGGGGGGCACGTGGGGGGCTAATCCTGGGGGCGGCAGGGTGCTGGTGAGAGGGGATCTGGGGGGCAGGGTGGGGATGGAAGAAGGGGGTGCATGGTGCCCCCAGATCACCTCTCAGTGGGCCCCCGTCTCTCTCCCAGCAGCTTGCCGCTATGTGGGGCGGCAAATTGCCTCAGCTCTGCGCCGGGAGGACTCTGGGACGCCCCTGCCCCCCAAGCGGCTCAGGGACCTAGGTAAGTGCACCCCCTTTCTTTGCTGGTGGGCCCCCTGTCCCCATGCAGCCCCCCTGGAAGCAATCTGAGTCCCTGTGGGGTGCCCCACCCCTGTGAACTGCACCCCAAAGTTTCCCAGGCTGCCCTCAAAGGATCCCCAATTCTGCACCCTAAATTACCCTCCTCGGTCCCCAGGAAGCTGCCCCTCTACTCCTGTACCCCAAAACTCTCATGCCTCCTTATTGCTACATCTCAGCTCTTGGGGTCCCCAGTTCATGCCCCTGAATTCCCTCACTGGATCACACCTTTATCAGCACCCCAAACTCCCCCATTGCCCCCACAGGTTAATTTCTAATGCTGCACCCCACAAATTTCCCCTGTATACCTAGTAGGTACCCCTTTTTCCAGCACCCCAAATTCACCCATAATACACCCACAGGGCACCCCTTCATGTAGCCACCTCTAAACAAGAGAGTGCACCCCACTGGCTGGACCCTGAGTTCACATCCCAAACTCCCCCACCTCTTTACTACTCAACCCCAAAACTCCCTGATCTGCCCTTCCAAAATGTACCTGTTCTGTACCCCTAATTTGGCCTTCCCCTTGTCCTGCACCCCAATTTTCACCCATTTTGTCCCCCAGTCCTTCCCTGATTTTGTGAGGGGCCCCTTTGATCTGCACCCCCAAAGGCACTGGTTTTGCCCTCCTCAAACTCTCCTATCTGTGGGCAGAGATTCCCCCTTTTCTGAACCTCCAAAATTCTCCATAAAGGGTCTTCCTGGTTCTACCTCCCAAAATTTCCGGTCTTTTTGTAGAGATTCTCTCTCTTCTGCACCTCAAAACAGAACCTGTACCCCAGAATCCTTTAACATCTTTCTGGGGCCCACTGGCCTGTTCTGCATCTATTATGTACCCCCCAAATCTTCCTTTAATTTGAGGGAGCCCCTTGTTCTGACCCCTCAAACTGACCTACACCATCCAGATCTTTATTGGGGTTCCCCGTTCTTGTCTACCATGATTCTTGATTTCCCTGCACCACAAAATGCCTCCTAATCTCTGGGGTTCCCAATTCTGCACCCCAAAATCACTCCACATCTTTGCAAAATGCAATCCCTCTAGGTATCTGTAATCAGTTTTTCATATCCTGCCATATCTGGAAATCACCTCTGTTCTACCACCCTGAAACTCCTCTGTTCTGCTCTTTGCAAGCACCCCAAAACTTTCACTGCTTCAGGATGCTACCTCCTAGCACACCCCACAATATATCTGTGATTTCTGCCCCCCCAATATAATGGGGGAGCACATCCCACTGGGAGACTGTCAGGGACAATGTTTGGAGACAGCATGGAAATACAGTGGATTTTGGTGTTGGGGGGGCTTATTCCTTCACCCACTTACTTCCCTGGTTCTTCTCGCATGAACAGAGAGCAACAATACCCGAAGTCCAAAGGTGCAAACAATTCAACGTTTATTGGGGTGAACTTCCAGCAAGCATGATTCCAGTTTCCTTCCTTAGTGTCCCCCTTCCCAGCTCTGACACCACAGAGCCTTACACCTATGTCCATTCCCATTCCTGCCCTTAGCCAAACATGATTCCAATTTCCCCACCCAAATCCCTGTTCCCATTTCTCCCACACACTTCCTGATTGACTGCAGACTATATAGTAAAACTTGAGTTCTGCTTAGCTATACCTTCACTAATCATTTTCCTGAAATTTAACTAACCATTCCTAACATATTGTAACATGATTATGTAACCAATTATATCCCACCACCTTAATTAGTTTACACCCAGCAAAATTAATTATACAGCAGACAGGAACAATCACAGAACCAGACAGAGATTATACAGACAAACAACAGCAAAGTGGGAACTATAATGACAAAACAATACAGAAGTGAGGATTTCACATCCCAGCTATTGATAAGTGAGTTCTTGCCAGACAGGATGCTCTCAAACTAAGTTTCCTTGTACATTTTCTAGGCGCTTTCCTTTCTCTGGAGGCGATAGGCATTATCAGGACAGGATTTTATCCTAACAGCCCAATAGCACCTTCTTTCAATGGGACTAGTTTGGGATGTGAGGAGGTGACCGGTTGCTTCCCAGCTTATGGCTGCCTCTGCTGCTTAGCCAAAGGCCTTAGCCTAAGCACAGGGCCTCAGACTGTCACAGGGAGAGAAGGACCTTACACTGGCAGACAGTGATTTTGATTCTTTCTTTTATACCTCTAGAACTAGCCAAGTGATAAGAATACACCTAAATTCTTAGGGTACAGGCCTTTACAAACAGGCCTGAATATCTATATCCTAACATTTGGGAGTGCTTGTTAACACCCCAAGTAACTCCCCAGGCACCCTTCTTTCTTCCCCCTGTAGGTGACAAGAAAGATGTAACCCGCCGGCCAGTGGTGGCTCCATTGGACTCTGTCCCCCCGGGGCGTACTCCCCTGGTCCCAGCAGAACGGGGGGCACCAGGGCGGCCCTCCTGAGGCTAACGGTGGGGTTGACGAGGGGCGAATGACGGTTCATCTGGCAACTCCCAGGGTCATGGGCAGCGGATGGACCCGAGACACTGACCCCCCCCCCCACTGTACCCCAAAAAGGAATTCAGAATAAAGAGGTTTTGGAGGCCACTGTGCAAAGGAGCCATGTGAGGGGTTCTTGGTAGATTGGAGCTGCTGGGGGACTGACTGGCTGGCTGAGGGGTGGGGGGGGAGGAATGGGGCAGGGGCCTCCACCCTCTGGGGGCGCCGGCTCCCATCCAGCCCCAGGGCAGGGACGGGGGGGCTCAGGGGGCAGGGAATGGGGCAGGGGCCTCCCCCCTCTGGGGGCGCCGGCTCCCATCCAGCCCCAGGGCAGGGACGGGGGGGCTCAGGGGGCGGGGAATGGGGCAGGGGCCTCCCCCCTCTGGGGGCGCCGGCTCCCATCCAGCCCCAGGGCAGGGACGGGGGGGCTCAGGGGGCGGGGAATGGGGCAGGGGCCTCCCCCCTCTGGGGGCGCCGGCTCCCATCCAGCCCCAGGGCAGGGACGGGGGGGCTCAGGGGGCAGGGAATGGGGCAGGGGCCTCTCCCTTTTAGGGGTGAGCTGATGAGGTCATGCAGCCTTATGACATCACCACTTGTGCTGTTGGCATACTGTGATGTCACAGAGGGAGGGGGTGATGTCATCCTAGGGGATGTTGATGACATCACAGCAGGCTGTGATCTCCCGCACCGGCTCTGGGCTGGGCAGGCGGGAACGAGGCTGGGGGCGGGGTCACGGCCTGCGGCATGAGGCGCTACTGCCCCTTTAAGGGGGCCGGAACTACACGTCCCAGCAGGTAGTGCGCCGCAGCGCACGCGTAGCACGGACATGGCGGGGGGAGCGGGGAGGGGTCTGTGTGCGCGTGTGTCTCACGGCTACGCATGCGCCGTACCGCCTGCGCCCTTTGGAGTTCTGGTCACGCACCGCTTGCCCACCCCACCTCGCGCAGGCGCAGCGCTGTCTCCAAACTCCCGCAGACGCGTCTCAGGCTCCGCCAGCTCAGGCAGGCGCAGTGAGAGGCTCCCGCCCTGTGAGCATGCGCCGTGCTGCGCCCCGCCCCCGTCTCGCCATTTCGCGCGTGCGCCGCTCTCGCCATGCTGCCACGGCCACGCCCATTCCCGAAGACCGGAGCGGAAGTCGCTTCCCCGTTGGGTGATCTCTTCCGGGCCCCGCCTCCCGCGCGCGGTGATTGGCTGGAGCGGGCTGGCTCGACGCTGCGATTGGGTGGGCGGTTGTCATGACAGCCGGAGGGGGCGGGGCCGGGGGAAGATGGCGGCGCTGGCCCCGGAGCTGCTGCTGCTCCGGGACTCGGGCCGGTTCCTGGCCGACAACCTGCTGAGCAGCGAGGACTGGGGTGGGCGGGGCTGTGGGAGGGGCCTGAGCAGGGGCGGGGCTGGGCCAGGGGGTCTGACTGGCAGGCGCTTGGTGGTGCGCAGGGCGGGGAGGAGCCTGCAGGGGGGAGGGGCTGGGTGCCGGAGGGGGCGGGGCCTGGGGGAGTGGGAGGGGCTGGGTGCCGGAGGGGCGGGGCCTAGAGGAGTGGGAGGGGCTGGGTGCCGGAGGGGGCGGGGCCTGGGGGAGTGGGAGGGGCTGGGTGCCGGGGGGGCGGGGCCTGGGGGAGTGGGAGGGGCTGGGTGCCGGAGGGGGCGGGGCCTGGGGGAGTGAGAGGGGCTGGGTGCCGGAGGGGCGGGGCCTGGGGGAGTGGGAGGGGCTGGGTACCGGGGGGCGGGGCCTGGAGGAGTGGGAGGGGCTGGGTGCCGGTGGGGGCGGGGCCTGGGGGAGTGGGAGGGGCTGGGGGCCTGGGAGCGGGGCCTGGAGAATGGGGATTGACTGCCCTCTTTGCTTCCCGCCCCCAGATGCGGCTCTTTACAGCTGCCTGGATGATGGGGAGGAGCCCACGGCCCTCTTCCCCTGCCTGGAGCCCAGTGCATTGGTGAGCCCTTCCCTCACCCTGCTCTGCCTGGGGGTGCCCCCAGAGACCCACCTGCTCCATAGCACCCCCACTACCCATCCCCCGGGCAACAGGGCCCCAGCTCCCCTCAGATCAGGGCCCTCTGTACACTGGGGGCTGCTGGACTGGACCCTGGGGGAGGTACACAGGTGACCCCCACTTCACCCCGAGCTTCCCCCTTCCTCCTGCAGTTTGATGATGGTTTCGACCTGGGCATGAACGCCAGCCCCCCAGAGCCGCCGTGGGACCAGATGCCAACCTGCCTCTTCCCGGGTGAGCCCACCCTCCCCCCAGCATTTGGGACAGATGATGAGGTGTGGGGATATCTGTGTGCAGTGGGGCTGTTCTGGGGCGGGTGCACGTAGGGGGCGGAGGGATATATGTGTGCAATGCGACTGTCCTGGGGCGGGCGGAGGTAGGGGACGGAGAGATATCTGTGTGCAATGCGACTGCCCTGGGGCGGGTGCACATAGGGGGTGGAGGGATATCTGTGAAGGACTATTTTCTAACCCCTCCTTCTCCCCCGTTCAGACCTCCAGGTGAAGTCCGAACCCGTGTCCCCCGCTTCCTCCCACAGCTCAGACTCCTCCATCCTCTCCATGACCCCTGACCTACCAAGACAGGTACGTGCCCCCATTGGCCTGGGAGATGCCCCCAGCCCCCACACTCAGCTCTGTCCATACCACCTGACCCCCACACTGAGCTGTGGCTCCCCACAGGCCGCAAGCCCGGACGACGTGATGGGAGTGAAAGCCGAGCACCCCCCGACCCCACCCTGCATGTTTGGTGATGTCCTGGCCCCTCCAAGTGGCACCGTCCAGATCAGCCTTCTGCCAGCACAGGAGACACAGACAACACCAGGTAACCAGCCCTGGAGGGTGGGGTCTGGCTGTGTGGAAGGGGCTCTGGCAACTCCAGGTCCGGCCAGCAGGGGGTGCTGAGGGGAGTGGGGCGAGGGGCTGGCTCTGCGGGGGTGCGCTGGGGAAGTACATCACACTCTCTTGCAGGGAAGCCAGTGACTCCCATCAAGGCTGAGTCGATCCTGAGCCGGAAGCCACCCATCCAGCCAAAGCCGGTGGTGGTGGCCACCGTCCCGGTGCAGCCCGCGGCCACCCCCAGCCCCACCATCCTACTGCAGACGGTGCCGGGGGCCCAGCCCCAGCCCCTGAAGCCAGCCATCACAGGTACAGGGCATGGGGCTGGTCCTCTCTTGGGGGCACCTCAGGGCAGACATTGGCTGGCCCGGGGCTGGGGCACGGGAGGGCTGGTGCATGTGTTGGACACTGACCGACGTCCCACCCCGCAGTCCCAGCACCGTCTGTCGTCATCTCCCAGAGCGACCTCCTGCACCTCCCGCTCTCAGGGCTCCTCAAGCTGCAGCCCCCGGGGAAGGAGGGCCCCCCGGCCAGGCTCCCCCCCAGCGCCCCCAAACCCGAGGCCAAAACCATCGTTCCGGCCCCGAGCCAGCTCGGACCCTGCAACCCAGAGATTGACGTGAGTGATAGAGTGCGGCCGGTGCCCCTCACTCCTGAACCCAGACCCCGCTAGCCCAGTCCTGCCCACCCCATCTCTGCCAGTGCCCCTCACTCGCGAACCCAGCCCCCGCTAGCCCAGCCTTGCCCACCCCATCTCTGCTGGTGCCCCACACTCCCGCCCCGCAACCCCCTGCCAGCCCAGTCCTGGGCTCCCCCAGCTCTGCCGGTGCCCCTCACTCCCGACCTGCAGCCCCTGCTAGCCCAGACCCCACCCATGCCCCTCGGTCCTGACCCGCAGCCCTCCTTTTCTGCCGGCCCCTGCCCCCAGGTGAAGGTGCTGAAGCGCCAGCAGCGGATGATCAAGAACCGGGAGTCAGCCTGCCAGTCGCGCCGGAAGAAGAAGGAGTACCTGCAGGGGCTGGAGTGCCGTCTGCGGGAGGCGCTGGCCGAGAACGAGCGGCTGCGGCGGGAGAACGCCATGCTGCGGCGCCGGCTGGACTGTGTCCTGGGCGAGGTGAGCGCCCCCTGTGGGTGAGCCAGGGCAGGGCACCGCAGGAGCTGCGCTCTGCCGCGGTGGATCACAACGGTACATTCCAACACCAAGCGTACCCCCCCGGAAATAACTGACCCCCATAGGGAGCATAATGGTACATTCCAACTCCCCATGTCATAATGGTACATTACATTTCAGCAGCAAGTGCCCCCCCCCGCATTTAATGATCACAATGGTACATCCCATATAGCCCCATGCGGGGGGGGGCCCATAGTGGTATATCTTATAGCAAGCAGAACCCCATGTAGGGACCATAATGGTACATCCTAGGAAGGTGTTGTTCCCGATGTAGAGTTCATAATGGTACATTCTAAATCCTTTTCCCCCCACCTCAGGGGTGATAATGGTAGATGCTTTCTACTGGGATGTCCCATTGTGATCCCTTTCCCCGGGGCATGGGGGGGGCGGGGGCGCTGTTCACATTTTCTGTTGCTGGGATGTTCCATTGCGGCCCATGTGGAGGGGAAGGGAGCAAAAGGAAATGCAGCCCCCTTGTGGGGCATTCCATTGTCATCTGTGGGGCGGGGGGGGGTGTTATGGTCCCTGAGAGGGGCAGGGATTGCCAAGTCTCCTGGTACTTTCCATTAGCTCCACCATGTGAGGGGGGTAAATTGCTTTCTGGAGAATTCCATTAGCCTTGTTTCCTGGGAGACTCCATTATGATCTGGGGGGGGAATTGAGAACCTTTAGGGAAGTGCCATTATATTCCTCCTAAACGGGGAGTTTAGGCCATCCCATTGGAATATTCCACTAGCACCTAGAGTGGGGGGGCACCAAACTTTTGGTGGGGTGTTCTATTACGATAGTAAGGGGGGGCAGGAAAATGTTGTTTCGTGCTGGGAGGTTCCATTATAGTTTGTGGGGGGTGTCTGTTTCTGGTAGGTTTCAGAGTAGCAGCTGTGTTAGTCTGTATTCGCAAAAAGAGCAGGAGGACTTGTGGCACCTTAGAGACTAACCAATTTATTTGAGCATGAGCTTTCGTGAGCTACAGCTCACTTCATCATCGGATGCTCACGAAAGCTCATGCTCAAATAAATTGGTTAGTCTCTAAGGTGCCACAAGTCCTCCTGTTCTTGTTTCTGGTAGGGTGTTCCTTTATGATAGCAATTTACAGGGAGGGGAGTCAGTGGGACATACACTGTAGGG